AAGAAAGTTCGAGAATACTCAAATATTTTTTCACCGCATGGGAATCGAACTCGGCTCTCCTGCGTGCGACAGAGAAGCACCGAACCGCTCAACAACACACGCTGGTCCAAGTCCAAGATAAATTTCTCGCTGTACTATACTGAAAGAGAGAGAGGGAGAGAGAGAGACAAAGAGAGAGAGGGGGGGGAGAAAGAGAGAGTGTGTGTGTGTGTGTGTGTACGTGTGCGTGTGGGTGTGTTTCTCTTTCTCTCTTACACTTTCTCCCCCCAGGTGGGTGCAGAAAGAGGAGACAAAAGCAGACGACAGAACATTGCTAGAAAGCAGGAAAGGAGGTGAAATTGGACAATTTTAGAGAATAAAATTTTTCGGTCGCTACCCGGATTCGAACCTGGGACCTTTGAATGAGAGGCCAACACCTTAAACTCTAGGCCACGAGAGCCCCTCTGTCTGTCTGTCTGTCTGTCTGTCTGTCTGTCTGTCTGTCTGTCTGTCTCTGCTAGGTCTCTGTTTAAATGTAGCTTCATTTTCAAGAGATTTTTTTAAAGTTTTCTAAATTATGAAGAGGGAATAAAAACATCTTTCAATAAGATCTCATCTTAACTCGATGCACATGTTGGTCCACAATTTCTTTCAGCTAAGGCCGCAGTGTACTACACATTGCGTAGTTCATTTTGTTTTGTTGTTTTTTGTTGTTGTTTTTGTTTGTTTTGTTTGTTTGGGGTTTTTTTTGGTTGTGTGAGGGTTGTTTTTGGTGTGTGTATGTGTGTGTGAGTGGGGGGGGGGGGGTAGTAGTCGATTTTGGGAGGCTTGAAGTTGAATGAAACGGCAAACATCTGAGATAATAAACGGAAGAAAAAAAATATGAGACGTGTTTGAAGGAATGACAATAAGTTTGCTGTGGTCTCTTCAAATTTCAACGCGAAAGAGAAAAACATTAAAATATGTAAATCACTGTGTGAGAGAGAGTGAAAAGCAAGCATGAAGAGCTCTTTCTTTTTCACCACCGACGAAAAAAACCCGACTTTTTAGTGTTTAGACTTTTACCCTTTTCATGGGAACGCTTCATTTCCCTTTTGATTCGCCAATGTGTGTGTGCAAAATAAATGATTCCTGACGACTGAGTGCTTTCCACCCATTACTATCATGTTAATTAGGACCATGTATGTAAGGCTGATTGTTGAGCTCTGCAATTTTATTGTCCTACTTTATTCTTCGTCCATTTGCATGTAGCAGAGAGGAGAAACATTTCAGCTCTGAAAAAATATCTTCACTCTATAATACTAAAAGGGTAGCTGAGCGTCTTTGCTCTCATTATACATGTATTGTAACTTCTTTCCTTTTCTCGCAGATTCACATGACTAATAAAAAAATGTGTTTACATGTGAAACACACAGAGAGAGAGAGAGAGAGAGAGAGAGAGAGAGAGAGAGAGAGAGAGAGAGAGAGAGAGAGAGAGAGAGAGAGAGAGAGAGAGAGAGAGGGGGGGGGGTACAAAGTAGGAAAAATAGTTACATAGATGCAAATCAATTGCACCAAAGGGGAACAAGAAGAGAAAGAAGGGAGAATGGCACATAGCTGGTCAGGCGTGGTTCCTGATGTGTTGAACTGACAAATTGTAATTCATATCAATACATCTCCCCCTCCAAAAACCAAACCACCTACAACACAGAGACAGAGAGAGAGAGAGAGAGAGAGAGAGAGAGAGAGAGAGAGGGGGAGAGAGAGAGAGTAGGGAGAGATAGGGGGAAAGAGGGAGGGGGAGAGAGGGAGGGGGAGAGAGGGATGGAGGGAGAGAGAGGGGGAAAGAGAGGGAGATTTTAAAAGAGAGAGAGAGACAGAGAAACAGAGTTTTAGTAAGTGTTTTAAGGCACTTGCAACACAATAAAGCGATATAAGTGCGGAAGATTAAAGGTGTTACAAGAGAGTAACAAACACAAAAAAGAAGATCAGGACGATAGATGTTTGGTAGGAAGGAAGGAGCAAATCACACCAGAGCACCCGCCAACCACTCTCAGAGAGACAGAGAAAGACAAAGAGAGAGAGAGAGAGAGAGAGAGAGAGAGAGAGAGAGAGAGAGAGAGAGAGAGAGAGAGAGAGACAAAGAGAGAAAGAGAAAGAGAGGGAGACAGACAGACAAACAGACAGACGGACAAACAGACAGACAGATAGACAAACAGATACTATTTATTTTATACGGTACCTACATCTTCAGATGTGTATGTGTGTGTGAGTGTGTAGGTGTGTGTGTGTGTTTGTGTGTGTGTGAGAGAGAGAGAGAGAGAAAGAGAGAGAGGTAGAGAGAGAGAAAGAGAGAGACAGACAGACAGACAGACAGACAGACAGACAGACAGACAGACAGACAGACAGACAGACAGACAGACAGACAGACAGACAGAGAAGTAAGTAAATGTTCAAAAAGGGTTTGTAGAAGGAAATCCATGCAGTTTCAAACTCATTGTAACAAGAATTAGTTTTTAGACATTGACTGAAGCCACTGAAATGCATAGAAATAGACTTGACTGACATGAAACAAGACTTTCTACTTTACTAGAAAACAAACTGAAAGTGAGATGTAACTAACTACCTCTTGGACCTGGCCCCTATACTTCACCCAAAGACTTACTTACACAAAGTTTCGATGTGCACTGGCCTTGTAAAAACGAAACCTGTGTGATGACAAAATTTTGTCATTTGATACCTTACCAATTATACTGTCCCATGCAGATCAAGTCCAGAATTAGATACTGTACACTGTACTAAACACACACCCACACACACATTGAACAAATCATATATATGTGTTCAAGGGTTTTATTCTTTCTTCATGATTGCACTTCTCCGTTTTCATAAGACTGTTCTACGTGGGGAACTGTGTCAAATGCTACAACAGGAAATTAAGAGACTGGCCGGGATGAGGATGGAAAAGGGGAGAAGGGGAAAAGGGGGAAAGTCGTGGTATTGTTTTAGGCCCAGACAGCCGAACAAGGTACATCTCTCCTCATTAAAATTCCTTGTTCTCTGACTGGGTGGTCCTTGTCAAAGCTGGCCTGGGGTCAGGGCCAGATAAAAGTAAAAGTAACTCAGAGAAGTAGGTGGGGATTAGAACACCAGAATCAAAGCAGGCTTAACATTTATATTGGCAATAAAGATTCTAAGTCTAGAGCCATTCTGACAATAGATGTACTGAAAGTAATAGGTTGCATGATAATGGTACTGATATAATTTTTTTTAAATTATGTAATTTGTACTGAACAGTTGTCCTTCCTTTGTAAGAAAGAGAGGCCAGTTGGCAATTGGAAGCTGTCTTTAAACGCTGAGGGCAAAGACTGAATTGGCTGGCAAGGCTGATGTCACCACTGTGCCCACATTGTTTGGTGTATGGCCTCGGGTGGATAAGCTCCACATTGTGAGATGCGAGCCAGCGTGGTAAACAAAGGTGAAGGTACTAGTCTGTATTGCAACAAAACAACAGCGAACCCCTATTCTATTGACCAGTTTGTCTTTTTGAGCACCTTCAAAGTAGGCAAAAATGCTTTTTTGAGAGTTGATAAATTATATCTGGTTTGGATTTACTTGAAACTGAATGAAGAGTGTTTTCAGCAATCTATCTCTTGTCCAGTACAACATTTTAAATATTTGGGGACCATTATATCATCAGATGGGAGATGTCACATCGAAATGAAAAGTCGCATTAGCCAAGCAAAAGCAACCTTCCACAAAATGAAACAGATACTCACAAACATCAATCTGTAACTGGAAACAATAAAAAGAGTATTGAAGTTACATCGAGCCAATCCTATCATAATACGGGTGCGAAGCATGGACAATCAATAAACAGCTGGAAAAAACAATGGAGGCGACAGAGTTGTGGTTCATAAGACGCATGCATGCAGCGTATCCCATGGACAGCTCTAGAAAAACAAATGAAGAAGTCTTGGTTGAAGCAAATTGCAGACGACAGCTTATAATGACAAATATATACATGAAAGCGACAGGCACATTTCTTTGGACACACAATTTGGAAAGACAAGCATATATATATATAGGAGAATATTGCAACAACAGGCAAGTTTGATAGAAAGAGAGGCAGACAGAGGGAAAAGATACTGGACAAGTTGACAACATAGCAGGGAGCAGCAAGAACAACAGACACCATTGCTTCTAACGCAAGAGACAATGTGAAGTGGAGGTCCATGATCGCCAATGCCAGTCGACAAGGCACCGGATGATGATCATCTCTTGTCCACTCTATACAGAGAACAAAAGTGACCACAACCACCGGTCTTGTCCAGGGAAAGAACCGCACTTGTCTTAGAAGGGACACTGAGCTAAGAGCGATCAAGATGATCATCCTTCCTTGTCCTTATCATTCCATAATGATCCAGCCAAAGTCTTGCTTTCTTCAGATCTTTATCTAGGTCCTAGGAAGACTCTTTCATGACAAGACTAGACACTAGGCTGCTAGGACAACAAAAAGCAACAACACCCACCGACACTACAATTAGAGATGCTCGAAAAAAATAAGCCTTGCTGCTTTGGCACTCACTCTATGCTATAATAGAGTAGAATAGAACATAGAAAAAAAGACAGAGAAGTCATTGTGAAAAGAGAAAACAAACAAAACATAGCGGATGACAAAGAGACCAAATTCATCATCATGTTATTGTTATAAATACAACGTAACAGTTTGAACAGGGACAAGACAAGAACTATCTAGAATCTAGATCTAGATCTAAATTCTATATCTAGATCTAGATTCTATAAATAGATTTAGAAGACTAAGAAGACTAGAGACTAGAAAATCTAGATCTATATTCTAGATTAGATCTTGAGAAGAGTAGATTTCGAGATCTATATCTAGAGTCCAGATATCTAGAATCTAGATCTAGATCTAGATCTAGAATCTAGTTGGGATTGATGGTTGCGCACAACAAACAATTCAAACATAAATTTCAAACAAGGTTTTATAGACAACAATAGAATCTTAATTTAGTACTCACGCTGGCTCTGTGGTGTGGAGTGAACAGTGGGCACTTAAACGCTCTGGAAAGAAGGCAGTAACAGTAACTTACTCAAGAAATATGGGGAATGTTTTATATTAGACTCTCTATCTTAGTAGTCTAGGGCTTACTTGAACAACGTCAGCTCCTGACCACAGGCAGTCAGTTGAGTCAGTAAACAATAAACAACAACAGAAAAGAAGACTCACGGTTCTCATCCGATAGGCCTAGTTGCGCAGATTAATTCTAATTTTATGCATAAAAGATTTCCCCTTTTTTCTCAATCCCTTCGGAACGTCAGGAATTCGCATTGATTTGAACAGCTGATTATGAGAGAGAGAGAGAGAGAGAGAGAGAGAGAGAGAGAGAGAGAGAGAGAG